AAAGATGGAAAAGTTCTTATCAAATTTAACATGATACAGCATAGGAGAGCTGATATTTTGATGAGAGGATCTGAATTCAGAAAGCTGTCAGTAGGTTAGAACAATGGACTATAATTACAAGAAAAATTAACAAGAGCAATGGAGTCCTCCAGAGTAAAATATCCACTGTATCTATATAAACTAGAAGAGGCAATGAGCCAAAAACAAACCTTTCCAGGTCTTTTTTCATATAGGCTGTGGCCTATTTTGTTTGTTGGTGTTTTGTTTCTTTGTCTGCATTCACAGTCTCAATCTATGACTGTAAAACACACATGTACATTTCATTTTTTTGAGACATGGTCTTGCTATGTAGGTCAGGCTGGCCTGGAACTCACATTCCTGCTTCAGCCTCCCAAGTGCTGGGATTATAGGTATGTGCCACTATACCTAGCTCTCATTAATTTTCTAAAAAGAACAAGATCCAAATCAAAAGAAATTTTAATTTTATTCTTATTTGGATCACATCGTAAGTGCCATTCTTTGAGGTCTCTGACAAGTTAAAAAATCCCCAGAGGGCCCCACTACAGTATGTAGTGCTTGGTTTAATATTATAGTGACTTGAGTGGTGAGGGATAGTCTCCCTGATACTGTGAAAAATAGTTGCAAGAACTTGGAAGAGGAAAGTTTGAAATAGATCTTTTGCAGAGCTTTCAAGCAGTAAAGATACTGAATTTATTTCATTTTTTTCCCACAAAACACACCATATGTATCAATGGGTTTGGGTCAATTTAAAGAATTTCCCAACTCTATTCTCGCCTTACATGGGCTGACATTATGTACTGTGAAGTTCCTAGGTCAACGACTATCTGCAGCAGTCCATTAGAAGAGGTGTTGAAGTACAGATCTGTGTCAATTCAAGAGGTGTTTTAGAAGGGGATTCTACACTTGGGTGCAGGACTTACTGGCCTGTGGATCTCATTCAGTGCTGAGCATCTCCTTCCAGTTTGTCCAGGCCAATAGTGACTTGTTTTGTTGTTTTTCAATAGCATTACAAGAGAAACTATTACTTTAAAAAAATTAATGGAAACTTCTGAAAATAATGCCTCTGAGTTAGAGAAGTCAAGATTTTAGTTGCCCTTTTTAAAAGGTTTTGCATTTATTTCTCATCTTGTCCTTTTGTCAATTGGTCTCATAAATATTCATAAAGGAATTGACCAAAACTAAGTATTCTAAAAATGTTTCCTAAGCCTTTCAGTTTTGCGATCCTGTTACAAGTAACTGTTTGAAAATATTCCCTAATCAGTTGTTACTGTTAAAATCAGTGAGTAATCTGGCTTTTCTAGAGTTTGTTGTTGTTGTTTGTGGGGGTGGGGGATTGTGTTTAGTTGATTGGTTTTTGGTTTTTAAATCAGGATTTCAAAAATCTTAGGATCTTGTAAAAAGGAATTGGTTCTATAAGCAGACATTCTCTGCCCATCTCAAATCCAAAGTACCTCTGTGCTTGGGACTCTCAAGCTTCATACATATCCACTATCCTCTCACCAACCCCAAAAGGGAAGAATGGAAGCCAAGGATGAACTGGAGGCATAAATTCAGACCTATAACTTAGATGTGGACAATAAAATAGAAGAGTAGACAGACTTTCTAAGTGAACAGAACTGGGGTGGCTCCTTCAACCATGCAATAGATTTGAGGGAGGTCTATTCTCTGTGAGGGCTTGGTGGCCTCAGGTAAAGTGGCCTGGGAAGCAATCACAAGTCTGAGGACATGGACCATCACTGCTGCTGCTTCTTTCCCTTCTTTCCCATAGGCTCTATAAGCCCAGCTGCCCACTGGTTTTGTCCTCACACGATCATTTTTTGTTCTTTTGCCACTCACAGAAAATTCCCTTCCTCATTTGCCAAAGTTCCATTTTTCTTGATCAAATGTTTGCTGGTCACCCACTAAGAGGTTGATGGTAGTGGTCATTTCTGACTCTGGCTAGAATAAGACATTCCCAAAGCTGAGCCCTAATAACACATTTCTTTAGTGTATTTTCTGGCAAAGTCTGAGTGTGGTTTTAGAGCTACTAACTTGGTGTGTGAACATAACTTAATCTTTCTGAGCCTCAGTTCTCTCATCTGTAAGCTGAATAGTACAGGGTGTTTGAGAGAATTTTAGATACCAAACCTAGTGTCTGACAAGTAGAAGGTGCTCAGTAAATCACAGCTATTATTATTTTTAGCTGTCATCAATTTATATGGAAACTCATCAGCTGGACAGTTTTAATTCTTAAAGTTTTTTCTTTATTTTTTGGTGCTGGGGATTTGGGGCCTTGGTCATGTTAAGCATGAGCTCCACCACTGAACTACACTCCTGGCCCTACTTCTTTATGCTTTGTTACTCAAGAGTTTGTAAGTGAGAGAAAGTTCACTTATCTTTATGTGATGAACTGTGCTTAGGACCCAGAAAGAATGAGGAGGAGCCGGTGTTGTACTTTCTCTCTTTATAGTTATTATCCTCGTCATTTGTTGTTGGGGAAGGGAGGTCTCCAACCCTGGCAAGAACAGAATAAACCTTCCATTTATTGTCATTTTAATTTTTTTTTATTTTTCCTGAAGATAAATAAACAGAAGATAAAATAGAACACTAAAATTTACAGTTGTCTTGGTCTTGTTGTGACAGCTCCAAGTGTCTTTAGACTTGAGTGTCTTTTAGACTTGGTGTAACAGGGACTTTGTGCTCCTGAAGATCTCTGCCCTGAGAGTTTGATAGGCTGCACTTGGGTAGCATTTGAGAACAGTTTTCCCTCTGCCTCTCCAAGCTAGTTAAGGGTCCCTTAGCTAATTTCTGATGAGCTCTAAGTAATTTCCTGTCCTTGGTTCTAAAACTGCTGCTTTCTGGCTCCTCTCCAATTCCAAACTCCTATGCCTGGATCTCCAGGCCAGCCCTTCTGTGCATATGGTCTGTACCACATCCTCTTAGTCTGAACCTGTCTTCTCACTCTCCACACAGCATCCTCAAGTCCTGCTCATACTTATTTCAGGGCCTTTCTCAAGCCATTTCCTTCCCTCCCTGGAGCTGTGCAGTCTGTCTTATTATGGGTCAAGCTCATGAGCTTAGTTTAACTCACTTCCAATGTGAGGTCATTGATGCTTGTCTCCAATGCGGATCCTGACCTTGGCTGCACATTGGAATCACCTGGGAAGCTTTAAAAGCCCTATATCTGAGTCTCACCCCCAGAGATTCTGCTTTAATTACTCTGAGATTTTGCCTGGGCATTGGGATGTTTTAAAGCCCTTGAAAGTGATTCAATATGCAGCCAATGTTGAGAACCTCTGGTCTACAAATCCAGTCAATCTTCATGCCTGGACTGGATTCTAATAATAGCTTTATTTTTTCCCCAAGTGACTTGTGTTTAAAATAGTTCATGTGAGTATATAAAACATCAAAGTGACTATTTACACATTGTGTTAATTTGGTAGATTCAGGGGGAGCATTTCCAGTTCCTTTCTTGAAAATATGATTCCTAGATTACCTCTGGGCTCACTTGCCAGGAGTCTCAGTAACAACTGGTCTTTTTGAACTCTCAGTATGCACTGTGCTGAGCCTTCTGAGCTCCACACAACATTGCCCCTTTTTAGTCCTTATTATAGGCCTGGAGTGAGCCTAGTTTGGGCCTTGTTTGATTAAAGAGGATCCTGAGATCCAGAGGGCACATCCACTTTCCTAGGGCCAAACTTAAACCCAGGCATATTGAATGCCAAAACTTCACTGATTCTCTGCACCCTTTCCCTCCCCCATGAAGGAACAACTTACCCAAATAGCTTCCTGAACAAGAAAGATGTATTTGGTTTTCCTTTGGGGCTGTACACTTTTTAAAATTGGGCTGCATTTTTTTTGTATATCAAGAGCTCCCATATATTTACTTATTTCATCTTCACTCCCTATTTGCCTAAATAGGGAGTAGGACTCATTTAATAAATTAGTTTTTTTCTGTGTACTCAGGAGACTATTTTAGAAAAGCATCTACTTCTATACCTAACCTACCTAATCTGCCTAATAACTTTTTTGGGGGCTTTGTTTGATTAATGAGGATCCTCAGCTCTGGACAGCATCTCCTTTTTTAAGCAGTGAAAAAGAAGTGATACCCCCATTTTGCAGAAAGGGGAACCATTGCACAAAGTATTATCTACTAAATATTAGTAATTGCTACCACTAACTTGGCTTCTTAATAAGTGCAGGCTCTGTGCCAAGCTCTTTATATTCTGGGTTCTATCCTCATTTTATGGAGAAGGAAACTGATAATGAGAAAACTGAAGCTCTTTGCCTAGGGTGATAATAGCTAATAGTCAGACACAATGCTTGTTTACTGGTTTGTTTTTAACTTGCTTAGCAAAACTGAAAGACATGGGCTTCATTTGCTGACAGTAGTATCTAGACAACCATGTCTGGAAAAAGCCCGTGAAGCATAAACTGGATTTTCTTTCTGTGTGGCAAATGGCCATCAATAAAAGGTATTGTGAAACAAAGAATTTTCTGCCAACCTTGAATATCATACTGAGGTCAAATGGGCTCTCATTCATCCCCAGTTATCCTGATAGGAGGCCACTTTGATGTAAACAGCCCCTGAAGGTGAAAACTGGCTCTTGGAGCAGCTTCACACTCCATCCACCTCTGAACACTGCTGTTTCTCACAGTTGCAGATTGACCAGAATCCAGTCATTGTTGCTGGGTCACTTCTTTATCATACAGCCACTAAGGACAGAAAGCCATGTCTCTTTCTCACAAGTTATGAATATGCCAATTTATTTTCCCCCTCTTCAAGCATATAAAGACTTGGTATTCTCTGATTTGCTAAAATATACACACATATACACGTAATTCTATAGGGAGAATGCGTCTTACCTATATAAAGAGATAGGCAGTGTGGTGAGTGGATGGGGTCTTGGGGAAAATGAAGTGCCTAGCAGCTTCTGTCAGGGCAGAAGGTCACTAATTGAGTGCAAACCTTTTTTAAAATGTTGTTTATCCCCCTACAGGGCTTACAAAACCATTGAAGATGATGACTTGAAATTTCCCCTTATATATGGAGAAGGCAAGAAGGTAGGTGCACGTACTTTCCTGGATTTAGAGGACGAGGCTGTGTTCCCTTGTTGTTCTGCATAGCCTGTGGCAGTCTGTGTGTTCCACTCAGCAGCACTGATTTTATAGCCTTGACAGCTTAAAAGAACATTGCATCCATCATTCTTCAGGTCACCTGTCTTTGGGGTCCAAAGAGTGGCAGGGTCGGGGTGTGAGCACAAGGAACCAAAGTCAATTTTTTGAAAATATTCCCCTTCCCAGTACATTTGAGTAATTTTTACAGTGTTTAAACATGGCCATTTTCACACACATCATCTCATTTTATATCAGACAATAAGCTAGGAGGCAGGTTAAGCTGGCTGTATTATATTCATTTGGTAGATGAGGCAGCTGGGACTATGAGATTAAAACAGCCCAGGCAGAGCCACATAGGCAGCAAGGGGTAGCACCAATATGGAGCCCTGGCTTTCTGCCCTCTTCTAGTGTTCTAATGGTCTACCATGGAAGTTCAGACTCTGCAAGTCTGCTTTTCTGCTTGCCTCAGGGAAGGGACTCCAAAGCTTCACTATTAATTAAGCTACAGGATCACATCAACCAGAGCCCAGGCTGAAAATCAAAGACTGTCATCAGTTCCCAGAGTCCCAGTCAGAATCAAACATGGAGTAATACTTAGTTGAACCAAAAGAAGGCTGTAGATGTTAAGATGATCTGGGAACAGAGATCTGGAGGAGGTTGAAATGGTGGAGCATTGAACCCATCTCCCAATTAAAACAAACACCTTCTGAATGATTGCATTCTTCCTCTGAACTGTAATTTCAACTCAGTTTTTCCCATGAGAAGTGAAAAATGGGGTCACGTTACAAAGAATCTTCAACTGAATTTTTTTCAACATCCCATCATTGTTATTAAAAAGAAATGACTCACAAGAAAACCAAAGCACTTCCACAGAACGTGTGTGTGTGTGTGTGTGTGTGTGTGTGTGTGTGTGTGTGTGTGTGTGTGTGAGAAAATGGGAACACGGGATTAAGTTTTGGGCCCAGTGTAACCCAGCAGTGATTTCAGTGGAGGGGGGCATTTCACGAAGGGGAACAAAACATAGATATGTATATGGAGGTCATTTTGTAAACTTCCACCTCACCACCTCTGGTTGAGAATTACAACAGGGACAAGCTCTGTTCCTGATAGGAATTTGTGTGCTCTTCAATACTGTGAATACCATTAATTTGTATCATTCCAATCAGTGACTATCCTGAAGCTGCAGTTCCTGGTGGGACTGAGATTCTCAGTGCTATCCTGCTTTATCAAACGAGTTCCAGTAAGCTCAGTACCACATCCTGTTCTCTGTGTATCCCTAGTGCCTGCCTAATCTGGTTCCTGACGCAAGGCAGACCTTGGGTAAATGCAGAAGTAATAAGTAAGTTGTTCAGTTATCCTCAGCGTGTCCTCCTTCATGCAAAAAGAATATGAACTGATGTATTCTTAGAAGGTTATAAAGAATGAGATTGAAAGAATCAGGGCTTTCTCAGCTAAGCAAAAAGTCAGTTCACCAAACCAAGACATTCCTCAAGCATTTCAGTTTGTTAAGGCTTGACAGTGCCATGATGAGTAACTATTGGCCTATTTAAAATCCACCATGTCTTCACTTGGCCTTTTTTCTTTTCTTTTCTTTATTTCTGCTGTACTAGGGCTTGAACTCAGATCCTCATGCTTGTTAGGCAGGCGTTCTGCCACTTGAGCTACTCCGCCAGCCTCACCCTGGATGAAAGTAGCACACTATCCCCATCTGAGTACTACATGGTTTCTATCTAGATCCTTTAGGGGTTTCTTGTTCCTTTCTGCATACTCCTACCAAGGAGTCCAGTAGTATTATTCACAGCTGTTAATTTTTATTTCCAGAAATGCTTTTACAGATCTGTGTAGGTAACACCTGTATACTTTGTAAACAGGCTCATTCACTAGCAAGAACATGGATCTCTTTGAACTAAAATACAGGATGTGCTTTTTCCAGTCACAGAAGTTAATGTTGAAGGAGAGAGCAGAAGAGCCACAAGGGACTCAGAGTACTTCCTGCTAGAAGGGAGCCTGTCCAGCCTCCCAGCACAGCAGAGGGTTTCTGCTGCCTGCCTGACCAGCGGTACCCCGGCTTCACATCTCCTGCCTGCACTTTATTCCCTTTGGTTCTGGCCCTTAAAAATATGTGCCAGGGGCTCATTTCTACTCTACTATAAATTCTACCTACTTCTTGATCTGAGACCAGCTCCAAATTCACAGCCTTTTGAAGGGAGTAGGACGAAGATGAAGACACTGTGTTGGACTATATTTCTTAGCATTTATTTGCTTCATCCTTACTCCTATGAGGTAGCTATGCTTATTAACCAAGTAATAAGAGGGAGCATTCAAGCTCAGATCTTTGAACCACAACAATACATGGGATATATTATTGATGATCTAAGGGTTAGGACATTGGGCTTCATTCCACCCCAAATGACTTGTATTCTAACCATCTTTCTGTGTCTGCCTGCCTTGATGCTGTCCATCTTTTGGCATTAAACTTACTGCAACTTCCTCCAGGGAACCTTGCCAGTATAATTTTTATTTCCTCTAAACTCACACAACCCATTGTTCACGTGCCTTTCAGGGCTTAACCATATTTTATATGTTACCTCTTAGCTCCTTACCAAGTTAATTTATGGTGGGGATGAAGCATAGATATTTGTGTCTCCAACCACATGGTGTCTACATGTAGTAGACAATGTTTGGGTAAATCACAGCTGGGCATCCCAGGAGAAATTTAAACTGACTGTGTAGATGTTAGTACAATGTGTTGCTCCCTTAAGATATTAAAAAAAAAAAGTTAAGAGAAAGCATGAGGTCTCAGTACAGAAAGTCTCTGGGCAGCTACAACTTTAGTAACATTTGTTCTTTTCCACCCTGAGAGAATTTGTGAGAACATTAGAAGGAAATATCATGGAGTTTATAGTTGAGCTTTGAGAGGGCAGGAGCTGCCTCTGACTTCTTACATCTTTTATTAATGAGTGTCCATAGGGTTAAGGACCTAGCTGGGGTTTAGTAGAGTGTGTATGCTACAGAAGGATGGATGGATGGATGGATGCTGTTGGATTTGGTATGAACTTATTTCAGTAGCTATAGACATCACACATGTTGTAATTAGTTTATTAAGAATTCCCTACCCTACTCTTTACAAAAGAAAGCCAAGAAGAGGCAGCAGCCACCCAATAAGCTTTGGATAATGGATAGAAAAACCATTCCTCTAATACAGAAGTGATTTCAGTGAGTCTTTCCTTGATATAACAACTACCCACATCAGTTAACAGCAAGGAGAATGGAAAAATGGGCAGGAGGAATTCTTTCATCACCACTTAGTAGCTATAGTGTGACACACAGTATGCTTTCACTATGTGTGTGTTTCTGATGACCCTTTGCTTATAATCCTAGGCCCGGGTAATGGCAACTATTGGCGTGACCAGGGGACTTGGGGACCATGACCTGAAGGTGCATGACTCCAACATCTACATAAAGCCATTTTGTCTTCAGCTCCAGAGGTACCACATGAGATTTTTATTTATATTTTGTACAATAAAATATTTTCTATATTATTCCTCCCCTGACTCACACTCTGTATCCAAATAGTAGCCAATGTGTATTTATATGTACTTCTGTCTCTCCTGTCACTATTTTCTCACTTTTGACTATCCTGGTTCATGCCCTTGTCACCCACTGTCCAGAGAGCTTCCTAGCCTCCTAGTGGCCTTCTCTCCTTCCTTCAATCCATTCCACAGGTGAGTTGTCCCAAAGAACTATTCTGATTTCTAATTGCTCAGGACTTTCAATGGTACCCCATGACTTGGAGAATGAAGCTAGATTCCTTCAATCACCCTTCAGGGGTTATAATTTGGTCTAATTTTCTAATCTAATCTTCATTCCCCTGCACTAGTCAGCTGAACTTGTTCCTGTACCTGACCTTTAGTTTCCCAAATTTGCTTAAAACTATTTCTTCTGCCAAGAATGCCCTTCCTCCCTATGCCAGACATCCTATTCTTTTTCTCCATGGTGTAGTTCAGATGCTTCTCCTATGGGGACTTCCCAGACTTCCCCCTGGCCCAGCCAGAAGTAATGTCTTTACCTACTCCTAATACACAGAGAACAACATTTTCTGCCTTTTGTCATAATTATTCATGTATGCCTTATCCTCTCATTAGAATTTAATTACCTGGAGAGTTTCTGTCATTCAGTTGTTTACATTTTGCTTTTTAAAAAATAACATTTCCTATAAAACTGGAAACGATATTATGGTCTATGTTCACTTTTGGAGTATATCATTTAGAAAAGATTTTTGCTTCCATGTTATAGGAAAATCTAATAGAATTTTCAAAGTAGATTTTCCTCACATAATAAGAAGACTAAAATTTGGTTGCTGCTAATGTTAGTTTGGATCCTCAAGGGTGCCTGTGCCGGCAACTTTGCATTTCTTTGACTTTTCCTTCATGGTTGCAAGGTGATAGCAGTAGCTCCAAGCATAACATTTTTATGAAAGACAGAAAGGAGGTGCAGCCTCAATCCCAATGTATATTCATGTGCATCTCATTGGCCAGAACTGTGCCACATAACATCCCCTAGCCTCAAAGGAGGTTGGGAGAGATGGAGAACTTTAATTTCCAATTTCTATTGTAGAGAGGAGTCAAAGGAGAGTAAGTTAGAAGCCAATGGTGTTTGCCATACTGTGAAATAAACTATTAAGACCATGCCTTACACTGGAAATGTCCAGAATATTTAGACATACCTCCATCTGCATGTCCTTCCTAAGAGTAGGTGCTAGGGTTTGGGGGACAGGGTGAGAGGTGGTATTTGGTGGTGTTGGAAACTGAACCCAGGGTCTTGAGCACTTTACCACTGAGGTATACCTCTGGTCCACTAGATCTAGTTTTGTGGTGTTCATGTTTTGTTTTGTTTTTGGTGGAATTGGGTTTTGAACTCAGGGCTTCACACTTGCAAAACAGGTGCCCTAGTACTTGAGCCACACCTCCAATATTTTTAAAATTTTCTTGAGATGGGGTCTTAATACATTGTCCAGGCTGGCCTTGAACTCATGATCCTCCTGTCTGAGCCTCTTAACTAGCTGCGAGTTTAATGAAGCCTCTTTTGATTGGAGAAAACAGAAATCCACTCAAGTTAACACACAAAAAAGGTATTTGCTTTATATTGAAAGAGATGCTTAGGGTATCTACAAGAATAATCTTCAAACATCCAGGCTTTATGGCTTTATGCGAGAGTGGTCCTAGAATCAGACCAGCCCTGGAGAGTCACTGCAATAGGATCTGTCAGCCTTCTCAAGGGAGTTCTACCATTATGGTGGCCAACCACATTCCTTATGTCTGTTTCAGTCAACCCAGTTACATACTCTCCCAAATCCATATTTCCACAGGAGCTTGATTAGCCCAACTCACCTTGTATACAAAGCCACAACTGGCTTCCCAACCTAGTGATTGCCCCTTCAGGTCATATGCCCGCTCCAGTACCTTCTATCATCCCAAACAGCCACCCAATCCACTCTTTTGGCAGGGTTGTGGGCAGGAATTGTTTCTTTAGAATCCTTTAGAACTGGGGCTGTTATCCAAAATACATTTAAATACAGGCACTAAGAGCCACTGAGAGAAAGATGACTAGTAAATATTAGGCATGGAACACAGGCACATTTTGTGATAGAATCCATAATTTTAGATGAAGTCAACTTGGTAGAAATAGTAATCTCCTGTCTAGAGCATGCAGGTGTTCTGGTGCTGAATCCTCATAATAGTTCTGCACCACGAAGACCACTGCTAAATAGGTTATGAAGGCCCCATTGAAGCTGGTGAGTTCTTGGTCCCTCTGTTCTGGCCAATATCAGAATTGGGGAATTACCATTAAAACTCCTTCACCTGAGAAAAATAATAAATACTAGACTTCACACTCTCTTCTCCTTGAACTCCACTGAGCACCAGGTTTATAACTGGATTCATAAACATCTGTATCCCTTGGGGGAGAGGCGTTGATGATCAGGGATATTAAATAGTACCTTTGCCTTTCTGCTTTCCAGATGCTTCTTCCCTGGGGACATCAGGAAACACTAATTAAGCATTTTGCTCTTTCAAGAAGATTTAAAAGTTCCCTGCCACCTCCCACTACCATATATATGTGCTTATACATATTTATATAAAGTGAGAAGAAGTGTGGTTTGACGGAGGATGACCTACCAAACATACAGTTAGATTTTTAGATCTTCTAGTCACCATGCCACTGTTGGTCCTAGGAAAGGATCTATTCTTTAAAAATCTACTGCTAGCAATTTTGAAATCTTCAATACATTATTATTAGCTACAGTTGCCACATTATGCAGTAGCCCCTAAAATTTATTTCTTCTGTTTAACTGAAATTTTGTACCCTTTGAACATTTTCTAATTCTGCATCCCACATTCTAAGGTTTCTACATGCAGCATCTCATTTAATCCTTTAACTCTGTAAGTGTAGCTGTTATACCCATTTTACAGATTGGGAAATTGGGACACAGGGAAGTAAAGTAACTTCTCAAGTTTGAAAAATTACTAAGTAGCAAACTGATACTTATACCCTCATTTATCTAATTAAATCAGGGACTATTAGGTAGAGAGGTGAGTTCAAGGAAATTTTTATCCCAGAGATCTCGTAAGTACTAGTTCAAGGGGGCTCCATGGAGGGTACCTTTGTCTTGAACATAGTAGCTTTGTCTTGGGACCTTAGTGACCAGAATTTTTCAAAGAAGTACTGTTAACCTTGGACTAAGGTTGAGGAAGATGAGTAGTAGAAAGGATAATTGGGAAAGACAGTAATGGGTGGGTGTGTGTGTGGGTGGGTATGTGCAAACCTAGCCCAGACAGAATTGTGCAAAACATGATTGTGTACCTATAATTTAGCTTAATGGATATCTTGTGTATATCCTACGATCTCTTGCATGAGATTAAAATTGTATATTTTAAGTGCTTCCAGATGGAGTGTCTTTAGCCAGAGCCAGGAAGGGGGAGGGGGTGCTGTTAGAGGGAGGAGAGAAGGAGCAGCTTGAACTGGCTACTGTGGAGGAGAGCGAAGAAAGAAGATAGGTTCCACTCACACTTCTCCCCCAATCTTTTAGGGCTAAAATGCCTTTGTCTTGGAGGTTGTAATAATATCATACCCATGGGGAATGGCTAGGGAGCTTCTCCTGGGAGCCTAGAAAGCCAGGTTAATTTATTTAAACCAACTAATGAAGAGTAGCAGGCTACCTCCCTGTCTTTAGTAACCCCCCACACACCCCCTCCCTTTCTAACTGTGATTTCCTAAGAACATTCCCCTGTTCAGCTTTGTCTTTGCCAAGCATAGATCTTTACTTCACATTTGGGTTCTAAATTTCAAACCCAGCTTAGTCGGGTAGTCTTAACGGTTGAGGGGGGTGGGTGAGGAAATGTGTTTAGTTCTAAGAAAAAGGACTCAAAAATCTTCTTGGAAATTAGCATTGTTCCCATTCATCATTGTAGCTCCTAATTTGATTTGATGAGTTAAATATAAATAAATCAAAAACATGTGGATCAAATTTACATGAAAAAACACACAGGGGTTTAAAAATTAGAGAAGGGTTTCTAGCCAAACACATTTTCAGTTTCACTGAACACAAGGCGTTGGAAAAATCTTGAGTTTGCCAAACCTGAACAGCAGCCGCCAGGTTTGCTGAGCCTTTCTCAAACCTTCTGGGGTCAAGGGCAGGGATTTCTGGCCAAGACCTAAATTCCACAAGAGGCCCTGCCATGGGAGCTTGGGCCTGCTGGCTACAGGCTACAGAAGAGACATTCCTACTCTCTGGTCCATAGGACCTTGGTTTTTTTCCTGTGAGACAGCTTAGTCTTTAGTCTTTCCCTGAGCAAAAGGAAAAACATCCCCAGCCAGGTTCCACTCTTCTTACTTACGAAGCTCAATGTTAAACTTTTTTTTAATACCATCCTAAAAGAGTTCAAGTGGAAAAGGAAAGGATTTATTAACTCACGGCACTGAGGCCCAGGCCCTCCACATTTCCCTCTTTTCTAGCAATTCTCCCACCTCCAGTCCAGTACACACAACGTGTCATATTACTAAGGCAGCTTGGCACAGGCCTGCAGCCTCAACTTCCAGATGTTCTCTGTTGCACATCCGTTTCTGGCCATGACAGTCCTTGCATAGATCCAGGGCCCTTCTCAATTTCACCATTCTTTCTGAGTCTCCACTCCAAGACTATGCTATTGCCTTTAGCCCTAGTTTGGCTCTTGGAAGAACAAGATCTTTCTCTGTCTGAGGGCCCATTTGCAGAGCCAGCTTCCCCCCACCAATCTTCACTTGGCAATTCCCTCATTCCCTCTTCTCACCTTAGCCAACAGAGCCACAAAAAGCCTAATTTTCTGTCTGCTTAATTTTTCCTCTTCTTGGTTTTCAGAATTCCTATCAACTGTTTTGTTTGTTTGTTTGTTTATAACTCCAGGTCACTTGTGTAGCTCATTCTCAGAAATTTTTTACCTAGATAATATTT